GGCCCACCTGTCGCCTTTCTCTCTGCCCCAGGAAATTCCACATGGGTGCTGAAGTGCCTCTGTCTTTTCTTCCTTTCTCTGAGCTGCTGCACCCCACCTTGCCTCCCTCCCACTTCACCTACAAATACATCAACAGTGGTATGGTTGGCATTGTCAAAACCAGGTGTCAGGAGAAGTTAGCAGTCGATCTCTTTTCTCCCCAATCGCAATATAAAGGTCAAAGATCTCTCACTCTCATGATTTAAGCACCAAGTAAGTGACCTGAATCTGCAGCCTGGACACCCCGGCATCTTGGACCCTGGTGAGGTGGCTCAGCAGACAGGGAGTGTGGATGCAGGAGCCCACTGCCAGGATCTGCCTCTTACTATGTGTAGCACCTTGGACAGAAACTCTTTCATCCCCATGCCTCAGTTTCTTGGGCAATGAAATGGGAATGATGATAATAGTAGCACCTCTCTCACAGAATTAAATAAGCGCATGTGTGCAACACCTGTTCATGGGGCTGGGCACAGAGTAAGCACCTAATGGATGGGAGCTGTTTCTGCATATCAGCAGAGGCCCCTCCTTTCTCTAGAAGAATTACACAGGCTGGCGGCAAGTGTGCATTCCATCCACAGCCAAGAATACAGAATAAGAGGCCCTTTCTGGATATTGAAGACTAACTTTCCACTTATACATGTGTCCAAGAGTCAAGAAATTATCTAACTTCTAAGGCTCTTCTGAATAAGGAGTGTAACAGTTCGATGACTTGGAATCACTGAGCAGCGCAGACACTCCAGGGCTGGATCTTGGCCCCTTCAGGAGGAGCCCACACATGCGCTGACTGCTGGGTGGATCAGGTGGCACTGGCGCCTCCCTCCCTTGAGCACCAGGACAAGTGAAACCCTGCAGTCTTTCTGTATTGGCTGCACAACTGATCTGGTTTTCAGGGAATACAGCTCCTTTCCACCATTAAGCTAATGGGATAAAAGTGCCTCAACTCCATCCCAAGGGTGGAGAACACCTCTTCAAGGATGCCTCGTTAGAGGGCCACTGTGCCTACCTTCAAGGAGCCCCAAAGATAATGTGGGAAGAGCAGTGCAAAAAGTGGCCTTGTCCATTTAAACCAGAGCCATGGGAGCCCATGGGAGAAGCAACAATCACACCTCAGGGAAGTCAGGTGTTGCTTCACGGAGGAGTGGCATGGAATCCGAGCTCTGAAGGGAGTAGCCTATTAATTGTATTAACAATAAGGAGGGCTTCCCATGTGCTGGCCTAGGAGATACAAGGCAATTAAGAAGGGATCCCCATCCTCAAGCTCTGTGCAGATGAACAAAGGGCACAGACAGGTAAGCAGCTGGACGATCAGAGTGGTGTGCACTGGAATGGAGGTGGGCAGGGAGAGGAGCTGCCCTAGATGGGGAGGGAGAATGTGGTGCTGGCAGGCTCCCCAGGACAGCACCGCCAGAGCAGTCAGCTGACACACATTCCCAGGGAAGATGAGGGAAAGATGATGGAGAAAAAGACAGCTCCATGTGCAAAGGCATAAGACGGGAAGGAGAGTGGGGGCATCAGGAAAGAGCTCCTAATTCCTGGGTGAAGGGCAGGTGGGGCTGGTGAGCAGGGGGTGGGCAGGGTGAGAGGCGAGCAGGGACCCTTGGCTTTGCCTCTGCAAGCCACAGGAACCACTGAAGAGTCATAAGTAGGGTTGGATGTGCCAGGGTGGGGCCCTGTTGAAGCTGGTCAAGGTAGCTAAGGCTCTGGCCCCCAGGGTGGAGGAGGGGCCAAGGAGAGAGAGTGGAAGTGAGTTCGAGTGCTTCTGCAGCTGGGCCCCAGCCCTGGCCTTTGGCTGTGTCACGTGGGCTGCGTGAGCTGGCACCTCTAGGCCGGCTGCTTGTAGCTCCAGCTGCCCTTCCAGTGTCAGAGGAACACCTGCAGTGCAGAGCTGTGAATCCGGACTCCAGATGGGCAATTCCATAAACTCTGGAAGACAGCCAGACAGAGCTCTGGCGAGACTAAGTGGTCCATCTCTTCCACAGCCCCATCTTCCCGTGATATGTAAAGCACTGCGGCAAGGCCTTGAACTTTATTCCTTTCCGGTGTGCCCTCAGCATCAGACATGGGGCCCTGTGTTCACTGGGGTTTGATAACCATCAAGGAAGACACCGCCTGACTCGTTTCTCAGAAAGCTGAGTGGCCTCAGCACTTCCCCACACCCAGTAAGTGTGGCGGCCGGTAACCATTGACACGCAACTCCTCTGGCTTCATTTAAAATGAGGGCCATTTTAGAACAAAACCGAATCGCTGCCACAAATGTACAGGAGGTCAGAATGACTCTGCATGCAGATGTCAACAGTTTTTCTCCAGACCAGTGTGTGACCTCTGGCACCATACCTCCTGGGTTTGAATCCCCTACTGCAACTCACTGGCTGAGTGATCTTGGGAAATTACTAAACGTACTGAGCTCCTGCTCCTTCACATGTAATAGAAGGAAAATAACAGGGTTACTGCGACTATTAAATGAGACTGATAACATATGCTCAGTACGTGCTGTCGTTGTTTGCATCATCACTTCTCCTTCTCCTTATATGTAGCTTTGCTAGCCCAAGAGGCGTGCGTATTCAGGGAACACTAAGCCTAAGAGAGGGGAGAGGAGGAAAAGCCGTGCTGATGTCGAATGAGGTGCCACAGAATCTTTTCATGTCGAAACAAAGGTACCTTTTGTTTCCAGGCGGGTCAAAATGTTTGCTCGACAATCTTGGACTAGAGACAAAAGCAAAATCAATATCCTGGATGATTGTCTCTATGGCCAAGTCCAGGTGGATAAAGCTATCGGGAACTTGCACCAGACAGCACAGCTGGGTGCCCCAGCCCCTGGTACATCCTCAGCAGGGCCCTTGGAGTACTGACAGGGTTGTCATCATAAACACAACCCATACCAGGAGCCTCCGAGGGTCCCTCTGGTTCCACTAGAGAAACACACTAGCTCTCCAGAATCCACTTCTAGGACAGGCACTAAGAGGAAAATGCTGATAGTGCCTAAGTTTTTAATGAACATTTGTCTTTTGACAAGCTAAACCAAGTCAGTGTGGGACTCTGGACAAGTCAGGTGACTCTTCTAGGGTTCAGTTTTTTCATATGTAGAATGAGAGGACTAGATGAGGTCTACGTTGATTAGAACTACCTATTAACATAATTTCTGCCTTGGAAACTTCTGATGTTTAATTCAGGTACCAAGGAAAAACCAGACTGGCCCACCTCATTCACATTAAACTAAACGAAAGCACTTCCCAGCCCACACAGTGAGATGGTACATTGGTGGGAGTGAAACCACGAGCCAGCTTTACATCCTGGAGGGGGCTTTTTGAGCCTTAGACCCAAAGCCTTGAAGCTGAAGCTGATCAGCACTTGGAGAGCACGTGGAAGGCCCGGCACAGGCCCTGTAACTCACTCCTCGTGCACTGTGTGTGGTCAGCAGCGGGCCCTCCAACAGGCTGGTGGCTCTTCTCCGCAGCAAAGTGTGACATGCCGCAGGAGGTGAAGGGCCAGCATCACCCCTATATCTCAACGTCTTTTCAAACTTACTAGATTTATTTTTAAAAATGTTTCCCTGGAGGAAAGAAATGAACACTTTCAGTAACAAGGAAAATAACAATAGTCATAATAATGAGAAAAGCAAAATAAGCACATGGAAGTGCATTTTTTTCTTAGAGATTTATTTTTGTTTGATGAATCTGACACCGGTCAGGGAGAGAGGAGAATGTTGGGAGCCCAGCAGGGAAATGAGCACCCAGAGGAAGGGCTGCTGCCTCCTGCATGGGTGGGGTTGGTGTTGGGATTGGCTTGTTGAATTTGTTGCTGGAAGTTTTCCTTTTGTTCACTTTATAAATCTCTTCCCGGGCTTGCGAGCTTCCCCTCCCGCC